TTGAATGACTGTGTTTTACAAAAGAAGAAACAAATACTTGGAAAGAGTAAGCTATAAACTACTTGCCTCCGGTTATCCTGGTAAGTAAAGTGAGAACATAGACTCATCCAGGTTGCTGCTTGTTTGCCATCACAGAATTAAGATGAGAGACACATGGCTTTCTATTAAGAGCCGTTTCAAAGATGGAAATTACATTGAATTTTTTCTTCTGCCATTATGTGGACAGTATTTATAGTTTAGTTTTGGCTAAATGGGTTTAGTTCCAAAATGTCTTTGTATCAGTAAGGGTGTTCAGTTAGAACTGTTAATTTTGACCAATAACATGCACGTTAGTTGACCCTAATAGCTCTGACAGTTCTCGTTGGTTTGTTTCCTCAGGTGTTGCTCTGTTGCCCTTTGTGGATGAGCGCAGACTTCGTGCTGCTCTAGAAGAGGTGTACCCAGATCTCACTCCAGAAGAAAGTAAGTCTATTACTCTTCTACAGAGTCAACATTCAGTCTGAGAAATATGCAGTGTGTGTTCATTTCCATGTACATTCTCATCTTTTGTAGTTTTCCAACTTTCTAGAAAGGGGACATAATTTGTTACTTATTTATAATGAAGGTTAACATTGCTTCTTAATTTACCATACATTGAGTAGTAATTATGTGAAAAAAAATTATTAAAAACACTTCAGGAATGTATTTTGAGTGTTTTACTTTATATAGCATTGGACACACCAAGTATTTTTGTGTTCTGAACAAGGCTGTTGTTTATTTTCTTATATTTTTATCCTTTATGATCCCCTCATCCCAATAACTTTTAGGGTAAACAAAAATATTTGCCCTCAATAGTAACTTTTAATGTTATTTTGCATTTTAAAAGCTAAATTTTGTCTTTAGTTTTGATGGTTACATAAATTGGCACATTCCAAAGCTGAGTTGTATTGGACAATTTATTTAAAACTGGTATAATAAGCCTATAGAAATTTCTTTTTCAGTTATGTTGAAAATAAAGCTTGTCATCAAATGATACTATTTGTGTTCTTTAGAATATTTATGTATTTCTTAAACTAAGAAAATTGAGTTACATGTAAATAAAAAAGCCTTGCTGCTTATCTTACAAAATTATATTCAGATAATCTTTCAGTGATTAATTCCTCTGACGGTCATTGAGCTTCTTTGAAACCATATTGTTTTCAAACCATGGTCAAAATGTTTTTTCCTTGCACAGAGGCACATCATGTATCTATTAAGTTTTATATTACTTCTTAGCTATACAGTTAAGTTTTTATATTGTAGGTGCACTTTTCTTGTTTTATTGTCACAGAAACTAGTCTTGCACATATAATTGTTGTGGTATATGAGTTTTACTCTTATTACCTTTTTTCTAGCTAGAAGAAACAGTCTTGGTGGCGATGTCCTGTTTGTGGGCAAACATCACCCAATCCACGACTTTGTTTTAGAGTTATATCGAACAGGTTCCACAGCGGTATGCTATTTTCTTCCATTATGAATTGTTCTGTCTTTGTAATTATTTAGTTAATTAATGGTGAATGGATTTTTCCCCAGCCAGTGGATTTACCACCTGAACTCTGTCATGGGATTCAAGGAAAGTTTTCATTGGATGAAGAAGCTATTCTTCCAGATCAGTAAGTACATCTTTGTATATAATTGAAGTGCCCAGCAAAGTATGGTTAGCATTTTTTCTTGTTGAGTGGGCATTTTATTTTCAAATAGTAATCATATTTTAAAAAGCAACCTACCTGAACTTTAAAAAAAACGTTTGGGTTCAAAGCCCATTTGTCAACATCATAGCTGTATCACCTTGTGCAGAGGAGCCCTGAAGACCCTTAAAACCTTTCAGTGGGTCCATGAGGTCAAGACTATTCAAAACACTATAACTGTGTTTCTTACCTACACAGGAGAAATAACAATGTGAAAATTAAATGAGATGTTATAAGTGACTTTTATTGACAAAGCCCTGAGTTCATTTGTAGGCAGTCATTGGATTATAAACAGGCTGCATTCCTTAGTCTGGGTATTCAAGGCAAATTTGAATGTAAATCAGAACAGCTAGATAAAGTTTGGATATAATGTCAGCTTTTCACCTTAGTATGTTCTGTATACTAAAGAGCTTCAAAAAGTATAGGAAAATTCCATTATCTTTTAGATCTGTTTTTTTCCCCATGAATTTTTAAAAACATCTCAGAGTATACTTTTTTTTCAATATAAAAAGATTTTAAAAAACCTCTTCCAGCTATCCTAAAATATTTTTAACATAAGACCATCCAAAAAATCAAATTCACTGCCATTGTCAATTCTAACATACAGCGAGCGACCTTGTAGTGCAGGATATAACTGCTCCTATGAGTTTCCAAGACTGTTGACTTTTATGGGAGTAGAAAGCCTCGTATATCTCCCTCAGAGCATCTGGTTATTTTGAACTGCTGACTTTGTGGTCTGCAGCCCAATGTGTAACTACTGTGCCACCGGGCCCTTTAACATAAAAATACTGAAATGTTTTTTAAGTAATAAATAATAATAATAAGGTAATACTTAAGATAATAAGCATGTCTTAAAACCACAAAGTAGTGCTCATTTATTATTACAAATCAATGTATGTACCTGAATTTTTTAATATGATAAAATTTGTGAGGGCTGGTTCTGAAAGTCCGAGTTGTTGTCAGATCTTTATAACCCAAGCTCTACTTGTGTTATCATCTGACAATCCTATCTCATGAGATTCATATATCCATCTGTCCAAAGCAGTGCTGAATATCATTGTTGCATATATAGCTTAACAAAATTTCTATTAAAATTTTGTATGACAAATTGACAAGTGCATTCAGCCTTCCTTAGGCAGAATTCTAGGTGTTTTATGAATTGTAGCTTATTCAAAGATTCAAGATTCAAAGATTTATTTATCAAACCATACTGTGATTTAAGAGAGGTTTGAATTATAAGCATTTCATTTGAAATACATATAGAAAATGGCTATTATATATACACAAATATTTACTTATACATGCATACATTCATACAGACACAAATATCACAAATAAGATATCTCTCATGTTACCAACATTTAGGAAGTGCATGGCTCATCCTATCCACTATTTTGATTTTTCTGGTAGCTGTTTCCTTGCTTTCTTTGTTTTGTTTTTGTCCCACTTCTGTTTATGTGTCTAAGTAATACAGTTTTGCACTTATTTTGAACTTCATACAAGTGGAGTCGTATTGAATAGTTTCTTCTGTGTCTGCTCTATGTGTTGACATCGACTTGATGGCAGTTGGGTTTTGAACTCGTGAACAATCTGTACTGTGAACGTTCCCGAATAAGTCTCCTGATGCATATAAGAATGGGTTCTCAAAGCGTGGTCCAGGATGCCTGAACAGAAAAGTGTCCCTGAAACTCTCCAAGGGGATATTTGAGATCAAAACTATTTTCACAGTAATACTAAGATGTTATTTCTCTACCTTTCTCTGGAAAGAGTATATACTGGTGCTTTCCAAAGGCCAAATGAAGTGTGTACCACAAGAGATTGATTCAGAAACAAAAAAGGTTTAGGTGTTAAGATAGATAATAAGCCAGATATTAAAAAGCTTACAAAAATGTAAAACAATGGTACTTTTCTCAACTTTTTGTTTTGTTTTTTAAAAATATTCATAGAAATATTTGATAAAAATGTTATTTGTATTAACATGCCATAGGTTTTAGACAGGTAAATGTTCATCAGTATAATCAAACTAAAGCTCTTTGGCATCCTCAATAATTTTTAGTAGTGAAAAGGGAGATTAATAGAAATTACTGGTCATGGAATGCTTTCAAATTTCCTAGATACTAGGTGGTTTTCCAAAGTGATTATACTATCTTATAATCACAATGGATAAATCATAGACAGAATTTGTGAGAATTTCTTTTGCTTTCCATGTTTGCAGACTCTTAGAATTGCTAGAATTTTAGTCTTTGTTATTCTAGTAGATTTTTGGAAGCCTCAGTGGCATAATAGATTACGAATTGGGCTGCTGACCTCAAGGATAACCATGATGCTTTCTACTCCTGTAAAGAACTATAGTCTCCTAAACCCACGGGCAGTTCTATGTCCTATGGGGTCAGTATGAGTTGGAATTGACTCCATGACAATAAAAAAGTGGATTATTATTATTACTTTGTTACATTTCCATTTTTCTGCTTATGCACAAGATTGAATACCTTTTATTTCTCAGTAATAAAAATAAGTATTAATAAAAACTTTCATAAAAAGTTAGTATGATAAATTGACTGGTTCATTTAGCCATCTTCAGATACAATTTGGGTTATCTTTATTTGTGAAATAACTTCTATTTTTCATTCAGATATCTGTTCTCTTTTTTTTCAGTGTGTAAGTAGACTTTACAAATGCTGATAAGAACCCTTTGACCATAGTTGTTTTCTATTTATGAGGTTACAAACAAGGAAGCAGGTCCTTAAGACAGACAAGCTTATCATTCTTTTATCAGTGCATTTAAATTATTTCTGTAGTGTAGGAAACCATAGCCACAATGTACATTGAATTACCTAAAAGAATACTAAAATTTTATAAATATATGGTTCTTCTCTTGTTTTCTTATAGAATAGTATCTTCTCCTATACCCCTGTTACAAGATCTGTCACAGAACACTGCAATCAGGTAAATTTACTTAAAATTCATAGTATTGGCATAGAGGAGGGGGGTGGTAAACTACAGCTCTCGAGCCATATGCTGCTCTTTCAGTATGTACTCGTAGCTCTGAAGTAAAATTGAAAATTAAAAGAAACCCATCATAGTTTTATTTATAAAATTTTTAAAGGATATTATTCAGATTGTGGTGGTTTCATTTGTTTGTAAATATATATTTATGGCTCTTGAATAAATTTTAAATTGTCCTGAGGGACAGGATTGGCTCTTCGATCTCAAAAGTTTGCAACTCCTGGTGTAGAGCACAGCTCTGAACTTGCAGTCAAAGAACTCTAATTCGCACAGAAAATGGTATTTATTATTCCACCACTGCTCTGAGATTGGAAAGTGTATGTATTGCAAATCTTTTGATTAAAAAATTTTTTTGTTGTTGTTACTGTTTTAACAAATTTGCTTTATCTATTTTCTGGCTACTCATGACAACCTAATTTTTCATGGATTAGAAGGTATACGTTTCTAACAGCAGTTATATTTGCAGTTTTAGTTCTATTTTTATCTATTTTCTGTCTACTCATCACAACCCATTTCTTCTCGGATTAGGAGGTAGGAGTTAAGAGCAGTTATATTTTGCAGTTTTAATTCTGTAGGGCTTTTTATTTAAGGAAAAATTCATATGAATTTTTCTTCAAGATGAAACACCCAGAATGAATTTGTGGACATTTTTGTCAACAATTATTTCTGCAGAAAATGTCTTTTGTCATTTTTCCCAATCTTTAGGCAAGACAAATGTATCCTGTATTTCAAAGAATTAATTCCTGAGTCGTCCTTTCCCACCCATGTTTTAAAATAGTTTTATTGGCCTACAGTGCATGTACCATACAATTCAGTGATTGAAATATATTTAAAAGAGTTATGTAATCATCACCACAACCAATTGTAGAACATTTTCTTCATTCTTTCATCCATTATTAGCTCCACAAGCTTGCCTGACCTCTCGTCATAACCTTAGGGGGGCTGTCACTATAGATTCACCTCTTATGATTCATAAAAAGACAAAAACCAGCAGCAGCAAAATAAAACACACAAAATCTTCAATCTAAGAGAAAGCAGAAGACACTAGAAACTAGAACAAATTATAAAAACGGGCCAAAAGGAACACATGATAATATGTTAAGTTTTTTTTAAATCATTTTATTAGGGGCTCATACAACACTTATCACAATCCATACATATATCAATTGTGTAAAGCACATTTGTACATTCATTGCCCTCATCATTCTCAAAACATTTGCTCTCCACTTAAGCCCCTGGCATCAGCTCCTCATTTTTTCCCCCTCCAGGAACCCTTTATAATTTATAAATTATTATTTTGCCCGTATCTTGCCCTTTCTAACATCTATTAAGGGAGATGTTGGATAATATGTTAAGTTTTAATCGAACTATATCTGCAGTAATTCGCTTTCCAGTGCATTCTACGTAAAATTGTTCATATCCCTGGTCAGTGGTCTCAAGGAATTCAGTGGAGTGTTAATCTTAGCCACTTTTTATTATTTTTTATTTTATTATTTATTATTATTATTATTTATTATTATACTCAGCAAATAGCTTAGGTTTTACTTAGCTTCCTTATTATGATATAAGCATATTTATTTACCTTCTTTAACAGATATCAATGTATATAGCATTTTGGGGTCTTTTTTTATTATTATTAAATAATCATTTTATTAGGGGCTCATACAACTCATCACAATCTGTACATACGTCATTTGTGTCCGGCACATTAGTACATACGTTGACTTCATCATTCTCACAACACCCACTTTCCACTTGAGCCTTTGGTGTCAGCTCATTTTCCCCCTCCCTCCCCGCTCCCTCTTCCACCCTCCTCCCAAACCCCTGTTAAATTATAAAAAATTATTGTTTTATCATATCTTACCCCATCCAATGTCTCCCTCACCATCTTCTCCGCTGTCTGTCCCCCAGGGAGGAAGCCATATGCAGATCTTGTCCTCTGTTCCCCCTTTCTCCCTTACCCTCCCTCCACCCTCCCACCATCGCCACCCTCTCCACTGGTCCTGGGGGGTTCATCTGTCCTGGGTTCACTGTATTTCCAGTTCCTACTAGATAGCCTTTTATTTAAACAAGATAGAGGTGAGTTCAGGCGCTCTTCCTAGATTTGTTGCTTTTGTTTATCATACATTTTAAAAAATCTTTATACTTAATTTGCCCTAGCCTTTTGTGTTTTACTATTAAGGGTAAAGTACACATTGAAAACTGTTTCACTCTGATAGTGTTTAATCAGGTGTGCTCAAACTAGGGCCGTGGGCCACATGCGGCCTGCCGAGGACATTTATCCAGCCCTCCGGGTGTTTTTGCCCCATTTGTTTTTTTACTTCAAAATAAGATGTCCAGTGTGCATAGGAATTTGTTCATAGTTTTTTTTAAAACTATAGTCCAGCCCTCCAACGGGTATGAGGGACAGTGAACTGGCCCTGTTTAAAAAGTTTGAGGACCCCTGGTTTATGTGAACACTGGGTAAATGCTCCCGTCTTGGGTGAGCAGTGGTGCTTCAAGCCAGTTCTCTCTTTAGATCATCACTTTTGTTTGTCTTCCTCAAGTCTGCTGATTCTCAAGTTCCTTCCTGCTGAGTTGTCTGAATTACCTAATTTCTGGTTTCTTTTAGGATGCAGAGACTAACCCAAAGGAAGAGTTGTAGAATTAATTGACAAATCTTAGAATTTTTGTATTTCTGATGATTGTGTCTGAGCCTGAACTATCTTGGTATTATTTAGTATACACTATATTCATAAAATCATTAAGTTTACATAATACATTTTAAAGTTTGATGCAATTTCATATATTTATTGAATATAATTTTATAAAATTGACAACTGAGTTTGTCTCAGATTATTAAAGATCAAAATTTACTTTTACTTCACCTCAGATTATTAAAGATTAAAATTTACTTTTACTTTATTCTGAAGTTGTTTTCAGTAATGGGTGATATTCAGGCTAAGATACAGTTTACTGCAAGTTTTTTGTGTAGGTATTTGTACATCGGTTATTGCATATCCCATTGTTATGTCGCTTTGTAAACAAATTTCTAAAATTATAATCTTTAGTATCAAATGCTAGTTATTTCTATTTTATTTGGTGCTGTTTTACCTTCTCTGTTTGGAAGTATCCGATATTCTATTTGGATAGTTTTTTTCTGAAGTTGAGTTTAGCTGAGATTTTAATACTGGATTAAGAGTGTAATGCTGGGAAAAAAAAATTTTTAAATAAAAATAATAGTAAAGAAAAAAGAGTATAGTGTTGGGAAAATAATAATGGAGGTTATTGAAGTATCATAAGTTCATTGAAGAGGCTATAAGACAGACCAGCTGTAACCTAGGACATCATATAATTTTTAAAAATTCTGACTAGATCCTTTATCATATTAGTAGCTAAACTTAGAATAGAACTGATATAATGTCCTTAATTTTCTTTATCCTGGTCTTCCATATTTGTAATTTGCTTAAACTTAGTACTTTTAGAATAATTATTTGCTAATCAAAATTTTGTAGAACTTTAGCGTATGATTTTAAACTTAATTTTCTTTTCATTGCAGCAACATAATTTTCTTTTTACCTGGAGGGTTGTGTATACGTAAACATTACTTTGTTTCACCTTAGAGTCAGTGTTCCAAAACACACGTTTGTCCTGTGCTCGTCACAAATTTTCCTTCTGGCCATCTGTTTTTGTTCCTCTACGTTCTGTTTCCCCAGTTGCCCCAGGCTTAAGAGCCTATTAATATGCTTTTGACTTTCTAACTCTCTTATAATGCTCCCAAGGACCACGCTGGTGGCTAGTGGGTTGGTACCAGCAGTTCAAAGACACCAGCCACTCTGCAGAGAAACACGAGGCTCTCTAAAACTCCTGTAATGACTTAAAGTCTCTGAAACTCACAGGGCCAACTTTGCTCTGCTCTCTCAGGTAGTTATGAGTGGATATCAATTCCATGGCAATGAGGTTTTGAGTTTATATTGGTCCCCTTAATAATGTGTGTAAATCAGGCATGTGTTCACAAGCAAAGAACTCCAAAGCCTGAAAGAAGTGGGCTGCATGAAAATACTCCATAGAGTTTAGCTTTCCACTGCCTTTAATGCTTTACAGGACACTGGACTGGTTAACCTCTTGATAGGATATTTGGAAAGACTTCCTGAGTCATGATCTCTTTTAGTGTTTTAAAATGGTATGTACTTTCTCTGTGAAAACAGTTAAAATTGGTTGCTGATTAAACATTTATTATGGAACGTGTCAAGAAAGGTAGAGTGTGAAAAAAGAAAAGAAAGGTAGAGTAAAAATGAAATTTGATTTTTAGCATTTTCTCCTTTTGTAAAGTGTGCAAGCAGTCTCAAATAGTTGTATGGCTAATTCTTAAAGTGAATTGAGTCAGATATTCAGATGTTGTGACAGTTTTCTTGTTATTAATAGTGTTTAAAGTGCTAGTGGTATAAATGAAAGCTGTTACAGTGCTCTTTTTCTCAACTGTGAATAGGCTTTTAATTTTTTACATATTTTCCCCTTTATGTAATTACTTTGAAAGTTGGGTGATTAAAATAGTAAGATTAACTGTCAAAGGGGTGAGGGACCCATTATGCTACACATGGGTCAGAGCTGGACTGATAGCTAAAGGAGTCAAGGATGTCTCATGCATTTGGAAGGAATGGTTACTTGTGTACATGCCATTAACATACGACCTGCTGTGGGCAACTTTTACTACTATTCAGGATATTAATGTCTGTTTTATTAAGTACTTGTTTAATGAATTAGATGAAGCAGTATACAACTTAATACAGTTCTCTTACTTTAGCTGAGCAGCCTTTTTGTGTCCACAGACTCTTCTGTTAACTCATTTTCTCCTTGTAACTTCTCAGAGATCAGAGTGAGTTCTCTTCGTATCTCAATGTTGCTTCTTTTCTTTCCCAGATAAGTTCAGCAATTAAGTCTCTTAAAATTTTTTTCGACTG